ATGATGATGATGATGATGATATGATGATGATGATGATGATGATGATGATGATGATGATGATGATGATGATGATGATGATGATGATGATGATGATGATGATGATGATGAGGGAATTGAAAGAAGTGATTCGTGTTGATTGAAGTGATTGGTGTTGACTGAAGTGATTGGTTACGATTGAAGTGATAAGTGTATACTGAAGTGGTTGGTGTCGATTGAAGTGATTGATGTTTACTGAAGAGATTGGTTTCAATTGAAGTGATTGTTGTAGATTGAAGTGATTGGTGTCGATTAAAGTGATTGGTGTAAATTTTAGTGATTGGTGTCGATTGAAGTGATTGGTGTTGATTGAAATTATTGGTGTCGATTGAAGTTATTGGTGTTTTCTGAAGTGATTGTTTCGATTGAAATGATTGGTGTTGACTGGGGTGATTGGTATCGATTGAAATGATTGGTGTTGATTGAAGTGATTGGTGTTGATTGAGGTGATTGGTGTTGACTGGAATGACTGGTGTCTATTATTGAAGTGATTACAATTGAATTATTGGGCAGGAATCGTAGGAGAAAAGATCTGAGATGTGCTTTAGGCTAGACGAATTTAAAACAAAATCATGAAAAACCCACTCTTACCCTCCTCCCTTGTAAAAGTGGAGATAGCCAGGTTCGTTGGTTCTTCTCACGAACCTCAAACAGGTTAGCCTCTGGTAGTCGGCAATTGCTGCGTTGATTGCTGACATAGCCGTTGACGACGAAGCTATGAAATGGGAAAAACATAGTTTTAATTATCAATTGAATCCATATTTACCCTAAACAAAATTGCTACAAGGACTTTGGCTATTTTCAAAGTTATAGAGTATATATGACAGTATTGTTTTCACGTTTTAAGAATTATGAAACTATCACCGTCATAAGATGTGAAAAGAAACTTTCAGGTCTTTAAAAATTTTACTGTTAGGGAGCCAACAATACGTGTGCTAGATAAGATTGTATGGACGAATGAGCATTAGATTGGAACTAATTTATAATGAAAATTTTTATTAGGTACTTATACAGTAAAAGCTATAGATAAAGTCAAAAGAATTTGCAAACATGGTGCACAACATACCAATAGAAGAGTCCATACTGTATGGAATCGTGGTAGGCCACAAGTTTGTCTTTGTGGCTGCAAGTGGAATCTGGTAGTTGGGAGAACCGTAAAGGAAATCTTGCTTCTGCTCCTCAGTAAGGATCATGTCACCTTCAAACATGCCTGAATCTGGAAACGACAAAAGCATTTTGAATGACCTCAGTTCAAGCAACAAAGTCTTAGAGACATTATTAATGTCGAAGCTTATTAAATGGATTCAATAAACAGATTTTTGACAAGAATATTTTGATCAATCCCCTTTTCACTATAATGATTAAATGAACATTTACATATTATCGAAGAAAATTGTAAACAAGATTGTCTTGTGGGCTAAATTTGAAGAGAATATGAGCAAATAAGAGAATATGAGAAATTTTCTCACATAGATAGATTCTTGTGCTGTTTAATGAGAACATAAAAAGATTTTCTTAATATAGATGCTGACTTTTCCTTCATCTTCTCAGTGAATCATAAAATTTGCAATGCCTTAAAACACAAATTGGCGAGCATCATTTATCTATGTCACTTTTTAGCCTGTCTATATTCTGCTGTTGAAAATATTGTCAATTATGTTGTCGCTCATAAAAGCTTGTGTTGTTTGATGTCTGAGATGATTGAATCACATCTTGCAATAAAATCCATCTGCAATTTAGTTTTTGAAAATCAGCAGTGAGAGATTGATAGCTCACCAAAAAAATTTAGGATAAAACTTACTTTCCATGGGTTCGCTGCAAAAAGCTGCAGCAGCACAAAAGCTGAGTAGAAGCCAAGAAAGAGCTGCCATCTTTAGAAAATTCTCTCGACTAAAAACTGGCAATTGAATGAAACACTTTTTGTGCCTATTTTTATACCGATTTTTGTTTACCATTTTTTTGTGTAGTTCACCGACTTTTAAAGGGAGATGAAAATAGTAAAAGCGGGCAAAAATAACAAAGAAACCAAGAAAACAGGAAATTTGTGTATACAGTTGGTTGCTATGAGTTATTTCTTCAGCAAAAAGTTTCTTCAGAATTAGCTTATTATGTTGCAGCTTTGTAAACAAAACTCTTGAGGAAATTTGTTTTCTTGTTATTAGCAGAAGTAAATATTACGATATTTCCAAATATGATGAATCAATCTTTTCTTTGCATTTTCACTTTGCTGACAATGGTTCTTTAACCATCATTTGCTCTCGTGCCACTCTCGTTTAAATACTCATTTGAAAAAGAGTCACTTGTAGCAAGTCCAATGTATTTGTTTTCAAAAACCTACCTAGCTCCTAAGGTGGTTTTTAGGGTACTTTATTACCTTGCTTATCGAGCAATTTCCTGATCCTTTCACTTGACGTGACTGGGATTTCTGAAAAATTGCAATTCTCTTCATAGTGTCATTATTTGCACTTTCTACCCAGCATAAAGAAATTTTCCAACTTTGCAAACTACTTCTCAATGCTCATTACCTCGTGATTCAAACCAGTAGATTTGGAAAGAATTCAATTACAAGGGCTGATTGAAAATGACTCTATCGTCATTCTCTCTTCAAATATGCTGTAGGGCATGAGTCTCATTTTACTGGTTTTCTTCCTTTTACAACATGGATAGAAATTATATGTATTGCGTGATTCAATCGCAATTTTCCAGAATTTCCAGAATGTAATAAGTTCATCTAGTTGTTGAGCAGAAATGTATAGAATAGGATAGTCTGATAAAACTAGCTACACTGTATTGCTAGCATTGAACATTGGGGATCGTTTTGGAAGAGCTGCATAATATCATAATGTTAACATAACATTTTTATTAAATGTATATTATACTAAACTATACATTAATGTTTATAAAGTTATATCAAATGTATATCATGTAATATTGTTGCTTGTTAGCTGTTATTGAAAATTTGTATATAGCTTGATATTTTCACAATGTTTGTGTTGTGCCATTCTGCCCTACGAGCCTTTATATATAATTGCTATCTTTCATTTTTCATTTGCATTCATTATTTTCACTATTATCTATAAATCTATATTTGGAGCTAATGGGAACATCTACACCTTTGGTACTTTCTTACAATATTGAATACATGCAAGGATAAGATAAACAAAATATAGGGAGCAAAGGACATAACAACATTTTTGCTACAGACGAAAGTTTTTTCTTCAAAATATTTTGTTCTTGGTTCTTTGTTAACGCTTGCCACACCCATTCTTCGTATCTTTTGCAATAAAACGTTTTTGAGATAAGTGAGACACTATTTTGCCTATAACATGCCAGAAAGAGCTGCGATGCGAGCTAGAAATCGAACTATTTCTAAATCGATAATAACTGTAAATGGAGTGAGCATTTTTACAAGAAATTGAAATTTAGAATCGAAGCGGCTATAAACAAGGCACTGAATGATATATTCGAATTGCAATCACCGTTAGCAACGGCATTGGTATGTTTGTAAAGCTGATAAATACTACTTAATTAACTAACTTTATGAGAGGTGCCAAATTCCTTGGAGAGCTGGTAAATACATGATCAAATATGAACGTTGCCATAACCATGTGAGCTAGTTTTATGCAATGCACATAAAAGTAAAAATAGATCAAAAGAGAAAGGAAGATTTTTAGTATTCTTTTTACCATTCACGTCAAAGCTGAAAATCAACTTGCCTTTTGTTTCTTCCAGAAGCAAAAAGTAGCTTATTAAGAAAATTCAAGTGAAATCAAAATCATTCAAATAAAATTTAACTACAAATGTAAATCTTCTAGAAACAATGGATTCCATTTCTGTATAAAAACACAAAATCACCTTTCAACGACCGTTGAATTATTGAAGGAAAAGGACAGCAACCTAAAGGCCCTTATTCATACTATGATTCAGCTTTGTTGAAGAATTAAATAACAGCTTCATTACAAAGCAATTTCTCTATCTGTTGACATCTATTTGTCGATTCATGTTTTTTGAACTTGGCATCTCTAGCCAAGACTATGTAGCCCTGTGTTGCATCATACCCTGGGTACCAAAGCATGGAAAGCCATCGATGCGTTGTGGTATGGTGGCTACACTCAGATAGATATTTCTGACACCAGAGCCAAAATTTTTAAAACTGAATTGTGTCTATGGCACCCAGGGTAGCTGCATCACAGCGTCACAATCACCAGGATATCGCCCCATGAGTGACCGAAAAGCCATCGTCTCTACTTGGGAACATAAAACGGAATGTGGAATGAATTTGCCAACAGGATAATTATAGAAGCTACAATATCCTTTATTAATCCTATCCAGACTAGGATTTTCGAAACTTTCGGGAGACTAGGGGGGGGGGGGGGCACAAAGTGTTTGATGCATTTTCTAATAGAAACAAGAAGATTGACACAATTTTGATGTTACTTCTCAAAATTATTAACGTTATTGTTTGGATGGTACTCTTATCTTTTCTCCACATTTTAGTATTATTGTTCAATTTTTAAGTCACGTGGTTTTACGATGACGTCATCATAATGGTGGCCGGGTGAAGCAAAAATTTAGAAAATTTTAGAAAATCTTAAAATATTCATTAATTCCAAAGCATCGGGCTAAGATATTGAAATAAGCAAATTTGATGCATTTTCTAATAGAAACAAGAAGATTGACACAATTTTAATGTTACTTCTCAAAATTATTAACGTTCCTAACAAAAGAACTCAACATATTTTGTATTTGGCTATAGTTTTTTCTATATAACTAAATGATCGATGCAACCAAATGTCATGTTTGAGTTCATTTTTAATGCCTTAGCAGACAAATTATTCTAAACTTGCAGTTTTATTAATGTAATACCTATAAATATGTCAACAAATGTGTGCGCATGCGCAGCAGAAAAATCGTAGAAAAGGATGTTGAATTTGAATTTTCTGGTCAGAATCACGAAGAGAGCACAAATTAATGCCTAGATACTAATTTTCATCATTATATCTACTTTTGTTGTGAATCCGTGGCAGATTGAACTATTTTTTACTTGACTAGTTTTGAAAACGCCCCTTCACAACCCCCTGATTAATAATAAAAAAATTATCTTTTTATATGAACATGTGTCAGACAGGTTAAAACTAAAAGTCAGGAGGTCTGAGGGGTATTGCTTTGAAACTCCTGAAGTTATGAAAGAAAAACCAACTAGGGGGGCACTTTGTGCCCCCCTAGTCTGGATAGGGTTAAAGAAACAAAAAAATTGACTGAATGCAGCTACCCCATATTTGTTTTTATCGTTATAATTTTTTTGGTTAGCTCCTTGTCTCTTTGTTCGCTTCAGAGAAAATGATTAAATATATTGTAAGTGCCATTTAAATAGGTAACTCGATGCCCTTGTGTCTTTTCCCTCTTCTAATGGCACCATATGAAGTAGCTGTTGACTAGCCTTAAGGTTTTAATTGCTTGCATCAAAAACATAAATCGGTTCACCGCTGTTACCATGGCATCAACTCATTTGGGTTGTTCAAAAACGATCAGCACAAACCATTTTTGGCGATCTACGACAGAGAAAAGAGGAATCAAATCAATACTGTTAGTTAACCTCAGTGAAAGATGTCTGATAAACTGGAGAGCGTGTCATACCATGAAAAATATAAAGATTTCGTTTTTCTGCTAAACCGTGCAACGTAGTGCGAATGTTTACAAGCAAATTCCAGTGGCGTAGCGTCTATGTATGCTACGCTTGCGGCGCAAGCTTAAAAATTTATAGACAAATTCTAAAATTCTTGCAACACTTTCAATGCATACCAATTTCCGCAATAAACGGCTTCTCTTTCTTGTCATGAGCAGCATGCGGTGAACTCTAGCGCCAACAGGCCAATTGGCCCCAATTGGCTATTTTTCCAAGTAAACAGATCGCTAAAAATTATGAAATTCGAAAAATCTGAAAAACTGAAGCCCCTCCACATCACCCTTTTTGCCTGTCCAAAATAAGAGAAACATGTGATGCTCCAGTGCAGCTTCAGTGCAACTCGAGAGAAGCTTCTGAGAGAAGTGAGAATTTTCCGGACTGGAGCTTGCGGTCGGCCTGAGCGCAAGCCTTCCCAAATATTTGATAATCCACAACATTTTTCTACCTATAAGCTGCTTTTTGCGAATATTCTTTGCGTGATACATCATTTCAAATCCAATTATTTCCCTTTCTTTACTTTGTGACTGTTGAAAAGAGAAAAAGTTTCGTCAAAGTGGGGTCAGAGTCTTTTTGTCATGATCCGCATTCCGTAATTCAAGTCAAAAGGCTTGCCAGTATAGTCAGAATTTACGGACCAGGGCATGCGGTAGACCTGAGCGCAAGCCTTGCCAAATACATGATGATTTGCCGGGACTAACTTTCTGAAACTTTACACATGGAAGCATCTTCAATTCTAACAACTCTCACAGCTCACTATTTTCATCTTCGTTAACTATGAGAGTAAAAAATGAGCAGAAACTGTTGCTCCTGTTCGCTTAGGCTCTGCAGTGTGTTAACAATTTCGCAATGTGGAGAGCTCCTTCTTGCGGGAATCCCCAGCTTCATTATAGCATAAAAAATTCTTACATTAGGTGGGCATTAGGTGATGCCTTTTCTTGAGGAAAATGAATGAGAATAAAATCTTTTGCGAAGCAGTTTTAGCACTAGGAGTTATTCTGAAAATTCTTGCTAAACAATTGAGCTTTTTTCAAAAACTTTCGCATGGGTGATAATTTTTCCCTTGGCCCCTCTTCACTTTCCAACCTCTGTCGGAGCCTCTGATGCAGAGAATAGACACCTTGATTGATTAGAATTAGAGTACAAATGATTTGTTATTTTGAAAATCAAAATTTGCTATCACGATTATCATTAATTACCGCTTGTAATTTTTAGAAACTGAAATTACCATTATATTTATTCAACATAGCCGTATATTTTATGTTACCGCATGCCTAAGTTCTGCGCTCACGCTACGCCACTGGCAAATTCACGTTTAGAGTCAAGAATTTCCGTCAAATAGCAAAAACAATGATCGAAGCGGCAATTAAAGAAGCCTTGCATGACAAACTTGAACCGATATCTCCATTGGCAACGTTACAGTCATGTAAGAAAAGCACGTACTATTAATTACATATAACCAACAAGCTACTTAATTAGCCGTGATTTATGACGCACTGCAAACAGCTTTTAATCAACTTTTCAAAGATTTGTCACTAGTGGAAGCATAAAAAGCATGTTGAACTATAATAGCTGCGTTAAAATGCTTCAACATTTTCTTGAAAAGCCGTTATTTTTATTCCAGTTTTATTTTTTAAATTCAGTATGACTGTTTTATAACGTACTTTCGAATAAATGTATCGCCGTGTCTATTTCCGGAAATGTTCGAACAAAGCGTTCAGGAAATACGTTTGATGGAAGGTACTCGTTTATAGCGTACTTGATTTGTTCAAAACTATTATCAGTTTTTTAAAAAGTCTATTTAAACCGGTTTAAACTGTTACAATAGGCATAAATGGAATGCAAAATTGCGTTAGTTGGATGTTCATATACAAATTCAATGGCATTCAAAAACAATGAAAAATCGCAAGCGGAAGACATAGCTTTAGGATTGAAGGTTAAATATCATAAGAATTGATACATTGAGACCAAGAGAGAATTATGCCCCTGAAAATGCAGAGGAATTGATTTGCAATAAATTTCTCTTCCGGTAATGATAATATGGGACTGCAAAAGGTGATATTTGATGAGTCAAGGGTGTCCTACTTTCCTATATTTTGATCAGATCATTGACTCGAACCTTTTGATAGCTAAAAAACTTCTTTCATAGTCTGCGTGCAGACTCAACAAATAGAGGAAATTGTAGAGTGTGCGCGACAGAGCATATTTTCTGTTTTCCATGTATTTCGCAAAACTAATGCCTTATTGAGAATTCTTTTTCTTCAGAGCAAATGAAATGTCTTTCCAGGATTTTAAGAAGCAAGTCAAAACGCTGTCTCTTTAATCATATGACATTGAAGATGTCTTTGCATGCTAGTAATTGAATCAGTTGTATCATGCGAGCCTTTATGAACATTTTTATGTACGAATAAATTAAGATAAAGATGGCGAAAAAGACGATTCCCAAAAGAGGTGCTGACTTACTCGATACAGGGAAATAAATGCCATTGATCAGGCTTTACAATTTCCTTATTTTAAAGTCTCCACGTAGGCAGCCTCTTTGATTTCAGCATTTTGGAAAACCACATTTTCCCTTATAGTTATACAGCAAAAGATTGCACTTCCTGTGAAAAACAAGACACTACCCATTAAACATTTTTCACAAAAGACAACATCAAAACATAGCGGCTTAGATAGCACTGGAACCTTATCATGGAGTAGACATTATCGAAAATATGTTTTACTGATAAAATTTGACCTTCATAGACTTTTCAAATATCTAAAACGAGGATATCTTTTTAGGTCCTCCAAAATGCACTAGCTTTGGGTTTTGTAATAACGTTTTCCCAAAAGTTTGATATGAAGATTCTAATGTCACATAGATTAGATTAAGCACAAAATTTACATAAAAGCAATCAAATGAAGTTGAGAAACAAATTGTCATTGTTAAACTAATCATGCCATTATAATAATATGATATAGGCCTAAATTGTACACTGGCTTGTTAGACAATTTTTTGGTTTTTGCTCAAATTTGTGATGTCAGAAGTTTTAGAAATTATATTCATAGTGAGAAAATGGTAAATAAATCTAGCAAAGAATAAGAAATACTATTCTTCTAACCGGGGATTTAGTCGTAAAATTTTACCAATCCTGGTTTAACAATCAAAATGTTAAATTTTCAGAAATTATGTTTGTGAAGAAAGGGAAGGGCCTGGGAATGGAGAGTAACCTGGTTTGAAATAATATATTATACTAATAGCTATGTAGAATAAGGTGTTGTTCGGCTAACCTGCAGGTATTGTATCTTATGCAAAGGCTTGCAATTGCCAGATTTTTTGCAATTCACCAATGTTAGAGTGGTGTTAGAGTACATACTGTAGGACATTTGTCATTGCAGCTGCAAGGTGAATCTGGTAGTGAGCAAACCAGTGCCAAAAATCTAGCAATCTAGCAAGAATTATTTCAACCACATATTTTCATACTGACAGCTGTACCGTTTTGAGAGTGGATCTCTGGTAGCTCCGAAACTGTCGTATAAATGCTGAAAGGATTAGACACTGCATTGCAACAGTGCACAGGCCTAGTACTAAGCAAGAAAGATCTGCCGTCTCAATAACAGTCAGTGTTTGAAGAAGCTTTTTCCTGCAAGTTCTCTTTAATTGCGGAATTTTTTGGAATGCAATTTGCAAACAAATCTCACGCAAAGATAGAATCAATACAGAAAACCCTCATGCAATGAATTCATGTCATCAATGTTTTCTACTGGTAATAACAATTTTTCCAAAGTCTATAGACTTACCGCAGGTTTCAAAATATGATGCTCCAATTTTCAATGCTTTCCGTGTGCAAAAAAGTAAACTTTTTAACCTTTCTGTATAGTCTTAATATTTTTCTCCCTCCTTTTTAGGAAGAAGTTGATGCGGAATGCATATCAAGTTAAGGAATGCATATCAAGTTCAGGAAACTTGCCTGAATTCTTCAGATATAAAATTGTAAACAACCATGGTAAATAAAATATAGATTAAGGAGGCTTTGAAGCCGGCAAGAAGGTGAAGCAGAGTTTCCGTTAATAAGTAGTAGGAGCGATAGAAGGTTCGGCTTATATTCTACTTTGATATATTTTTGACAGTCGGTTGTTGTTGAGGAGCATGACGGAAATATTGAAATTCGTAGATGCTAGATCTTTGCAGTAGAGAAGATTCATCTGTTATCTAATCATAACAGTGACTGAAGCCTTGTCTGTTGCCAATCACATTCTGCTTCAGCATCTTTGTACCGAATGGAAATTTTCTTAACCAAATGCAGTTTTGCGGAAGGAATAAAACATATGATTTTTGCTGTAAATTCTAAAAAATGATGATAGATTTTGAAGCTTATACTCTTAAAGATATCGCTTATACTCTCTAATTTTTAAGAGCAAGAAAACTTTCAGGCTGACAAAATATCAATTTTATCTATATTAATTAATGATCAATAAAAATTTGAAAAAAGTGTATTTGGTATGATTAAACCTATGAGTCAAATAGAAAGTGATAATATATGTCCTGAAGTCAAACATGGTCAGAGACAGAGATAAGCAATGAACAAGAGACAATCATGCTCATAAGCGAGTTGTAATGAGAAAAAATATGATTGAATAAACAAACTATTTCAGTCAATTAATATGTTGACATCTGTTGATCGATCCAGCTTCTGAATTTGGCAACTCTTGCAAAGACAGTGTAGCCCACTGTTGCATCACAGCGTCCAGATCCCCAGCTCACAGCGCCATGGAGAACCCAAGAGCCACTGGCTCCAGTTTGGCAAACAAATGGTCCACCGCTGTCACCATGGCATCCACTCACACGAGTTGTTCCTCCGTGACCAGCACAAACCATCTTGTCAGTGATCTGTGAATAAAACGAATCATAGAGGTCTCAATTGTATGCCACTAGTAACTCAGTTCAAGCGCTGCTTTATAAAAATTTGTCTCCAAAAATGATTTCGCGTGACAACATAAAAATAGAGTGATACTATGAATAATCAAACATACCCCAAGTCCCAAGTTCTTTGTGTTGAGATTGGTGCATTCTTGATTGGAAACAACAGGCATTTTTCCTTGCTGCAAAGTGTGGTGCATGTTGCCAGGATGTTGTATTTTTCCCCATCCTTAGAGAAAGTAAAAGCCATTCAGATCAAAATCGACTACATACAGTATTTGATATTTTGCAATAGGTTCATCATCATAAGAAGGTCTGTCAGAGTAAGGGTTATGAACAGTCCAACAACGGAGCTTTGCTGCAGTGGTAACCAGGCTTTTTATTATAGCTCCTCTTTGTATTATCGTTAAGCGCCATATAATGTTATATTTAAGTTTCTCACTGAACTTAAGAGGTCAATAAATGAATCTTACCTGTGATGAAACAATCAGTTCCAACTGGGACATTCTGGTCTTGTCCAGGCAAACATACTGGCTTCACGTATTTTCCAAACTGAATTGGCGAGGAGAGTTTCATCAACGCAATATCGTTATTGATTGTGCTTCTTGAGTAGCTTGGGTGGGAAATGATTTTTTCAACCTGCATATCGGTGTGTTGTCCATCGCTTGTTGTTGACGTAATATGTTCTCCAACTCTACCGAATATTTATATAAATAATTTAGCAAACTGCTCGATTTTTTAAAAATTAATAGATATCGAGTTATTGATTCTCAGATGCTTAATACCTGCACGTATTATACAAATTGATATTAGCATAGTCTATAGACTATGATACTAGACAAAGACTTAATATTTAAGTTAGGGTTGTTAATTGTATAACTTTAGCAAAAAACCTTTGACATCCTGCTTTCAAATATCAGTACCAAACCTATTTAACGCTTTCATTTTGTTTACCTGACTTTGAAGTAACGCGCACTGGACTCCCTCCCAGATACACAGTGAGCCGCAGTAACGACCCATTGTGGAGCAATTATAGAGCCACCACACATTGTCCTTCCATTATATAACATGAGGATTTGCCAAGGCCATGATCCTTTGTTTGCATTTATGCCAGCAATCACTCTGCTCTGTGCTACTTCTGGTTTACCACAAGAACCTTTGGGGTTTAAAAAGCAGAAAAATGCTCATGACAAAAGATGATCTGATACCATCACGTTGGCAAACTCGTATCTTTTTTCCAATTATGAGAACAAAATAAAATTTTCTATGTAAAACGTACAGGAGTCATAATTTCCGAATTTTGTTCAATTTCAAGTTAACGATTAGATATCGATCTGATATTGAATTATATTCAGTTTTTCCGTAGGTCTGTTATATAAAATATTAATCTAGTAAATCGACTCAGATGCACTTGATAGCAAGTTTTTATTAAAGGAACTTCTTCTGCACGTCATTTAAACAAGAATTATTCATTAAAGAAACATGGAGAATCAAGTTGCCTTCGCTTATTGAATGGTTTTTTGTTAATAGCAACGCTCACTATAAAATTTATCATATCGTACCTTGAGTTGGTCCTTGGGTTGGTCCTTGCGTGGGCACAGCTGTTGTAACTGGTCCACCTAATAATACGATATTTTTCTCAAAATGCCAACAATTTTGTCGATGTTTAAATTGGGACACGATGTTCGTCGTGGAAAAGCTTTAATCCTGCTTGTTTGACAATAAAATTTTGTAAAAGTTGTTTCCTTTTACTCAGATAGCTTTTCATTTTGGATTTGTTTCGGACACTCATAATAGTTTGTCTGGAGGAATTTTGAGGAGCATCAATTTTTATGTTCCGTCAATAACGTGAAGTGCAAAAGACAAATTGTCTCCCCTCTTAACATCAATTTACTTTTGCATATCTATTTCTTGATTTTATTGATAGTCCCTTGAAAAACCTTCTAATTTTTTTCAACATAAGTTATATGAAATTAATACCTAAATTTTACTGTTAAATGCAGTTTACCTACCACATCCATATTAAAAAAACAAAAGGTATATCTCATTATTATTATTTGATTTGTTTCTTTTGTCAGTAT